GGAGACATCATCTGCTGAATCGCGTTGTGATCCTCGAACTGAAGGCAAACCTGGAGGTTCAGGAGGCGGTCCTGGACCGTTAGGCCCGAAAGGATCAGGAGGTCCATCAGGGTCAGGCGGACCGCCCCATCCACTCGGTGGCTTGTAGTAGTCCCTATCAGTTCCATCAGCGATCTTGTTGTCAACTTCTTTCAGCAGATCAGTGATTTTTTTGCTTGATTGAGAAGGTTGTCGTTGAGAAGGTACAGCATGTTCACGATAGGAATGAGCCATATTTGTCTCATAGTTCAACTCCTTGTCGATCTGCGAAACCCAAGATTTCAGAATAGCGTTTTCACAGTTAGCCTCACTCACGTCATTCTCCAGTTTGTCGATGACTAGTCTTGATGCGAGATCGTAGTTGGGAATGCCTGCCGAATAGGGAAGTGTGTCAGGGCTGACCCTAGATATAGATGTTTCAGAATCCTTGAGACTCTTTCTCAGTTCATCTAAGTGACGTTTCATGTCAACAATCTCAGAATTCTTGATACCGATCTTTTCATCCCTATCCTGGATTTCCCCCATGAACATGCATGATCTCTCATACTGTTGAACACCACTAGCCAACTTCATTTTGCGCTCACTCTCTAGTTCAGATTTTAGAGTTCGGACCTCAGCATTGGTGAGGGACGACGCCCCTACATCCGCAACTTCAGCCAATCTCTCTTTTAACAATATGTTCTCCTGTAAACATTCATGAACTTCATGATCTAGGTCCTGAACCCTGATTTGAGCGATTTTGGCTTGATTACGTAGATCTTCAACAAGCATCTCATCGGGGCCACGACCGTCGGTCGTAGTACCCTGAGTCAACGATCTTCGCAACTTCGTGTTCTGCAACTTGATCTCATCCTTTAGTTCGCAGTTCATTTCCTGCTCGTTGGCATAGAGCTCTTCATAGTGCTCTGCCCTTGCGATCGAGTTTGCACTAGCCTGTGATTCAAGCCTCAGGTGTGATATTGCTTCGGCCTCTTGGTTCCTGTATGACGCAATTCTTCTGACGGTATCATGTTCAGTGTTTCGATGCTTCAGATCACTTTCCAATTTGGCCTGATTTGCCTCGAAAACCTTCTTCCTAGATTCTCTAGTGATCTCGTCAATACTGCTTTCATACAGCTCGGCCTGTTTACGAGACTGAACTAAAGCTTCACTCAATAGCTGATTCCGTTCAGATAATTCATGAACTGCAATTGATTGTTGTTGGCTAATCACTTCAAGTTGATTGCTAGAGAAGGATGCCATTTCGGATCGATTACGATATTCCATGATTGAGTTCTGGAAATCTGTCTGCATTTCTTGACCTTCATTGTATAGTCGATTGGCAATATCGGTGGTTAAGACATTGGTTTGATGAAGTTGTTGCAGTCTTGCCTCCGTATTACCCAATAGTCCTTGAAGGTGATGTACTTCATCCTTGTACTCCTCCTGGATCTCCATACCACGTTGATGGATACGTCGTGCACCATGTTCCATTAGGGCACCTCGGCGTTCAAGGTCTTGGATGCGTATTGTTGCACCTTCGTCTTCCTGAGATGCTACCATTAGTTCTGCTTGATATTCTGCAACCTCATTTGCGGAACATGACAATCTATGATTGAGTGCATTGACCTCATCAAATACATTTTGGTTGTGTTCCTGAAGATACTCAGTGAATCTGATCTCGATGTCATGAATCAGTTGATCTCTAGATGCAGCGTATGCTTCCAGGTGGTTCAACTGATTACGTAGGGATTGACATTGTGCCCGTAGTTCTTCTATCATGGCAATAGGTTCACTAGCCACAGAAGTATCCGTTGATCTCCTCTTAACACGACTATCCCCGGTCCTCTCACCAATTCGGTCGGTCACGGCCCTGGTGGATCTGTCCCTTGGAGTAGTTCGTCCTCGAGATGGTCGATGCCCTTGGCGGACAACATCACTTCGAGCACTGTTTCGAGAAGATCTTGGTGTACTTTGGGTGGATATCCTTCGTCTGTTTGACGTGACTTGCCATCCGGACTGTGTAGTTCGGGTAGAGCGTATCCCACCACTGTCTGCCGTGTCACCAGGGGAAGATTGATTGACCTCCTCGACCGGCATGGCAGTGTTCTCATTGAAGGTAAACTGCGTGGTGCGCGAATCTCGCTGCCGCCTTGCATCTTTGCGATGATGAGCTGATTGGTCCTTTGCGTCCTCAATCAATTGCTCAGAAGGCCCGGCTACCAGCACGCAGGTACCACTCTCCCGGCGGGAGAAGTGAGCCCTACGGCTGATAACCTGTGAACAAATGAATCCTTGTTCCGGATGTTATAGTTCAAGTGGTACCTGTTTTACTGGTAGTTCCCGGACCCGTTAATCATGGCGGACGGCGAACACTTATTTTGCTCACGCGTGGGGTCTTGAGCCATAGTGGCGTCCCATGCATGAATTGTTTGTATGCTAGTACTACGTTCCCTTTGACATATATATATATATACACATGTACAACATGAAATAATATAATATTCACCATAATTGCTTTATATTATGGAATATACTGTATAAGTGTGATTACATGAAAGAATATGATCTAATAGTTAATATACTACGATTAATATTATATATCGTGGAAACACATGTAAAAACGAACGCGCGATTTGAGGTCTAGAAAACTCAGCTAGAGTCAGCGCTGTGGATGGAATGTCAGGTGTCCTGGAAAATGGTTCCTGGACGAACATCTACATATTCAAATTATAGCTTAAACAAAACAATTCAACAATAAACAATTAAATCACAACGAACAAAACTATCAATTCAATCTGAAGATAATTTATTTCAAAATTAAATGGATTTGATTTTAAGTGACAAAACATCAAACACCAAAGTAAATAAAGAAAATAAACAGATTTTAATGGCGACGGGATTCATGAATTTCAATCTGCTGCTTTTTTGGAGGGTTTTAACATCTACGTCCAGTCGCAACAGGTCAGTCAAATCTTCCCATCGGCGATCCCATTTGTGAACCATCCCCCAGTCATCACCATGTTTATAGCTGGTATAAACTTACCATTCCCATTTTTGGGTGGTTTATGACATTGTTTTACCCACATGAAAATATTTTATGATTGTGTCTGAGTTCGTGGCTTGTACATGATCCAAAACAATACCCAAACCGTTTTTTTTACATTCATTTATATGTGAAACATAGCTGCATTGATCATCCATGTTCCAACTTAGGTCAATGAATTCTCCCCAGCGTTGCTGGCCAAATTCATTCATACATCCATACACACATGCCACTGAATATGGTTTGGAACTGTTCAACTTGGACGCCAGCGTCTCCTGACTGGTCATCGTCAGTCCTGCTTTTATCTTCAACCGATGAACTCTAATATCTCACATCATGGTATCTGGTGAACTTTGGTGAACTTTCAGGCCACATTTTAGTGACCCGATTTTAGCATCTGGTATCTTTTGAGAGTACTTTTTTCACCATCCAATGCATCTGATCCCCATCTTCATGGCTAGTGATATCGCATCCTCCAGTTGCCGCGCCCGCAATTTTTCACCGCTGATTTTTACCAATCCTTTTCCCCCTTCAAATGTATTAAAACATCCATTGAAATCATTCTTCATGCTACAATCATCCATGGAACCTGACAAACTATAAACTCAATAAACCAATCATATCATATAATATCCAATAAATCAGAGATTCCGATCCATTTTATCGGTTTATTGGATATTATATGATATTATTCCATAAACTGGGGTTTTATATGATATCCATTATACAATATCAAATAATAATTCCAGGAAACCCCAGTTGATCCCATAAATGTCATCCATTTTTCACCGGATCCCCCAGGGTTTCAGCCGCTTTCAGCCGCACCTGCAGGACTTCGATGCGATCCAACAAGGCAGCCACGCGCCGTGCGTTGCTCTCAAGGGCTTCCTGCGGAAGTGTGGGGAATTGGAAGATCACAGTTGAGGGGTTAGTAGTAACATACTATGTATATACATACAAATATATACATCTATATCTATATATATACACATATGTATGTATTTGTATATAAAATGTATAATATAGTTAGACTAGGGCAATCCCGTCTTTTTACAGACCGCACCCCCTACAATACAATAGATTTTAAACGGTCGAAACAAAAAGATGGGATTGCTTTACCTTATATAGATAATAACATAATCAACAATAAAATCATAACAACAAACAACAAAAAGAAAAAACAAAACAACATAAGCAATACACTAGATTATAAAATAGACTATACCAAAAACCATAACAACAAACCAAAACAAAAGACAATTTCACTTTTATAAAATGAATTTTAACTACCATTATTCTTCAAATTTTCCTCATGCTTCAAAGTGTTGGTGTGTCTTTTGTAATTTTGAGTTTGAATTTCATAATCATCACTTCAAATTTATGGAGATAATCAACATAATTCTCATAGTCATTTATTATGAAGATTATGGGATTAATTACCACAGTCTCCCCCTATAGGGGAAGCCTCAGCCTCCAGCCAATATACTATCCCAACCCCCAGCATACATACCAGCATACATACCAGCATACATACCAGCATACATACAAACTAGCATATCACAACAGCATCACATCTTTCTCAATCTCAAATCTCTTTTAATCCGCAATTGCCATGCCCAAACCGCCCTTCATGAACTTGTTGATGACCACGTCTTCTTAACCTCAGCACGGTGTGAAGCACAGCAATCCAAACTTTTGGGGCGAAATGGAGCGAAAAAGATTTGTGTGGTGTGCGTCCCAGACTTGTTGGTGCCCGTCTTCTCAAGTTTTTGGAAGGGTATGTCTTTGTATCAGGCATGAATGCACTGAATGTCAAGCTTGCGAAGGCTCACTGGCATGAATGCTCTATTGAAGCAATGTCCTATTCCTATTTGACACCCTGAAACCTTGATACAAACCTTGTCAATCATAAAGCATCTGCCAAGAGCAGTGTTTTGCAAGTCGCCCTGGTGGCGAAGCAAGCACTGTTTTGCAAGTCGCCCTGTTGGCGAAGCAAGCCCGTGAATGATCATCATGCCATCTCATGGGAACCAGAATCCTTCACTCTTCTCAGTCTCCTTGCCAAGGTTCTCGGACCGAGGGAGGAAAGGCGCTCCGCTTTTCTCAGTCTCCTTGCCGAGGTTCTCGGACCGAGGGAACCAGAATCCTCCACTCTTCTCAGTCTCCTTGCCGAGGTTCTCCGACCGAGGCCAGTAGGGCGCTCCGCTTTTCTCAGTCTCCTTGCCGAGGTTCTCGGACCGAGGGAACCAGAATCCTCCACTCTTCTCAGTCTCCTTGCCAAGGTTCTCGGACCGAGGGAGGAAAGGCACTCCGCTCTTCTCAGTCTCCTTGCCGAGGTTCTCGGACCGAGGCCAGAAGGGCACTCCGCTCTTCTCAGTCTCCTTGCCGAGGTTCTCCGACCGAGGCCAGAAGGGCGCTCCGCTTTTCTCAGTCTCCTTGCCGAGGTTCTCGGACCGAGGCCAGAAGGGCACTCCGCTTTTCTCAGTCTCCTTGCCGAGGTTCTCCGACCGAGGCCAGACGGGCACTCCGCTCTTCTCAGTCTCCTTGCCGAGGTTCTCGGACCGAGGCCAGAAGGGCACTCCGCTCTTCTCAGTCTCCTTGCCGAGGTTCTCCGACCGAGGCCAGTAGGGCGCTCCGCTTTTCTCAGTCTCCTTGCCGAGGTTCTCGGACCGAGGCCAGAAGGGCACTCCGCTTTTCTCAGTCTCCTTGCCGAGGTTCTCCGACCGAGGCCAGACGGGCACTCCGCTCTTCTCAGTCTCCTTGCCGAGGTTCTCGGACCGAGGCCAGAAGGGCACTCCGCTCTTCTCAGTCTCCTTGCCGAGGTTCTCCGACCGAGGCCAGAAGGGCACTCCGCTCTTCTCAGTCCTTCTCCTACGGTGTTAAAAAAAGAATGTAAGTAAAAAAACAATACAACCAAGACAAAACCATCAATTACACCTACCTCCACCCCTGCCCCTTGCCGAGGTTCTCGGACCTGGGGAGAAAGCGCGTCGGCTGTTCTCAGTCTCCTTGCCGAGGTTCGCAGACCGAGGCCGACGGGCACCCGCTCTTCAGTCTCCTTGCCGAGGTCCGGGCGAGGCAGAAGGGCCACTCCGTCTTCTTCAGTTCTCCTGCCGAGTTCTAGGACCGAGGCACAGAGAAGGCGCAATCCGCTTTCTCAGTCTCCTTGCCGGGTTCTCGGGACCTGGGGCGGAAAGGCGCTCGGCTGTTGCAGTCTCCTGACGAGGTTATGGACGAGAACAGATCCTCCGCTCTTCTCAGTCTCCTTGCCGAGGTTCTCCGACCGAGGCCAGAAGGGCACTCCGCTCTTCTCAGTCTCCTTGCCGAGGTTCTCGGACCGAGGCCAGAAGGGCACTCCGCTCTTCTCAGTCTCCTCGAGGTTCTCCGACCGAGGGAGGAAGGGCACTCCACTCTTCTCAGTCTCCTTGCCGAGGTTCTCGGACCGAGGACAGAAGGGCACTCCGCTCTTCTCAGTCTCCTTGCCGAGGTTCTCCGACCGAGGCCAGAAGGGCACTCCGCTCTTCTCAGTCTCCTTGCCGAGGTTCTCGGACCGAGGCCAGAAGGGCACTCCGCTCTTCTCAGTCTCCTTGCCGAGGTTCTCCGACCGAGGCCGGCGCTCCGCTTTTCTCAGTCTCCTTGCCGAGGTTCTCGGACCGAGGCCAGAAGGGCACTCCGCTTTTCTCAGTCTCCTTGCCGAGGTTCTCGGACCTGGGGAGGAAAGGCGCTCGGCTTTTCTCAGTCTCCTTGCCGAGGTTCTCGCAGCTCACGCACAATGCAAGGATGAGGCAAGCGGATACACCGGATTTGAGCGCCATGGCAATGCCGACACCCCTGAGCTAAAAAGCGTCCCTGAGTGGCTTGAGGAAAAACTCGCAAAAACGCTACGGAAGAACATAAAGATGCTGAAGAATGACACAAAATTCCAAGCGCAAACTGAAAGAGCTAATTTCTGTAGCTTTCCAACTGAGAATGTCAAAGATGCTCAAATTGAAACAAATTCCAAGGTCAAGCTCTCCAAGAATATGTGGCTTCAAACCTCCAACTGACATTCTCAACAGCTGAGCGCCCCGACAACAGGATGAAGAAGAGATTGATGACGAAGCCATGGCGGGGCAGAAGGGCAAAGGAACATAGAGCAATCCCAGCCAATGACCCAAACGTGCCGAACACAAATTCGTGGGGAAAACAAATGAAGAGCAAAACACAAAACCCCGAAACCAAAAGAGCACATAAAATCAACCATCTGATGGGAAAAAATGCTTACAAAGCTTTCTAAAAACACTAAATCTTTAAAAGTTCGTGCCTCATCAACAATCTTGGGTAATCAGTTAATTTGTAATATTGTTGGTTCAACTTTTCTGCAATCTCTTGCACAACATAATAACCTTTCAGCCAGTGGGAAGTTCTTTCTTTCTCTGTAATTGCTTTCTTTCTCATTATCTTTACTTTGTCTCCCACCTCTAATGTTGGATACATCCTTTCCTTCTTTGCCTTTGATGCTACATTCAGCATTGCTCTGAATTCATTTTTATCTTTCCTTGCCTCTTTTGGTGTCATACCTGTAGCGGAGTGTTTCATTTTATCATTGTATGTCAGCATAATTTCTAAATTGTAATCAACCCATTTGATATGTTCTCTTCCTTTCTTTTCATCTGCTTCAACTTTTTTAAAAAACATATCTTTGTAGGTGCGTATAAATCTTTCAGCAAAAGCAGGATGACCCCTTGTCCTATACAACTCAATATTCTCACCTTCAATATAGTCTTTAAAATCACCTCCTGCTATTGCTTTTTCATCATCACTGTATATGATTTTTGGTTTCTTTCCCATTTTTTTTAATGCCTCTTTAGTTGCCTCAATAACATCAGGTTCATTCTTGCTTACAATTGGAATTACTACGGCATACTTGCTTAAAACATCAATACAAACCAATCCTCCTCTATATTTTTGTTCTTCATCAAAATCATAATACCCCATAAAAAAACAAATCAATTTGATAAGTATGATTGTTATGAGGTGCTACAAAGGAATTATGCCCTCTTGGCTTTGCTTTTATCTCAACATTTTTCCTAAAGAATTGTTCAACATCCTCTTTCTTGATTGTAGGTTCTTTCTTTTTAGCATCTTCTAATGTGGTCTTTCTTGAACCATAGCCACTTCTATCAAAATAAATATCACGAATAATTTGTTGTTTCTTACTTTCACTCATTATAGAATAGATGATATAATAAATATTAAAATTATATCATTTATTCTTCATTTTGTTTATTTAACCAGTCTTGGTGCTTTTGTCATTTCTCGTGTCTTTTTTTGTGTTGAAATGTGTAATATTTGCCACAACCACACAAATGGTTTTCCAGCAAGATGTGTTTTCTTTCTTGAAACCGTCTTCTATGATATTCCTGTTCTTCTTCTTTATGAAGTTGTTTGTAAAGGTCATTTCTGAACCTACAATATTCATTTTCATCTTGGTAATATTCTGCTGGTGTTCTACACGGCACACATTTATTGATACAGTCATTGTTTTTGATATAGTAGCCCTCCCTCCGTCTTAACTCTTCCTTGCTATTACAAGGGTAGTTTTCTACTAATTCAATTTTGCAATTCTCTATACCGAATTCATCAAACAAATCAAAAGAACGTGTATTTGTAATATTACCTTTCAAGTATGCTGTGTATTTGGCTCTATGTCTTGTCATTCTTTGGCTCAAACTTTCGCAAGTAGAACCATAATAGGTTTTATTATATCCTACATCTACTATTTTATAAATCTTACCATTTTGATATTTGCTCATATCCCTACTTATCTTAACTTATCTTTTCTTTAAAACCATTTTACATTAATATCTTATTTGAAAAAGCGCAATTACAAGACACACAATAACCTCTACAATTATCTTTAAAGTGAGCTTCACAACAATTAACCCTTTGGCAGGTAATGTTTGACACAATCCTGCCTTCTTCAAAATCTATCACCAACGGTTCATTACAATTCTCACACCGGGTATTCATCAGGTTCATCAAAAAATCTACATCAACATAATCATTTCCTTCTACATCTCTACCTGCTTTCTTGTCTTGCTCAATGTAATTTAAAACCTTTCTCTCAAAATACTGCTCTACTATCCTTTTAGATTTACTTTCTTCACCTTCATTATATTTGAAAAACTTAATTTTGTTGAAGTCTGTAGCCCTTGTGAAGGCTGTAAAAAAACAATTCTTAATAACATACCATTCATTCCAATCATATATCACTATATCACCATCAACACTACAGCCCTGCTTTGAATGAGCGGTGTAGCAGTAAGCATAAATAAAATGTTTTCTCAATAGTTTCAGTTCTATATTTTGCTTCTCACCAGTTGCCACATTTTGTAAAACAACAATATCGCCAACAATATTCACAATCCTAAATCTAAAATTGACATTAAATTTCTTCCCTTTAGTCTTCATATATTTTCGGCATATAACTTCCTCACCAAGAACATATTCTTCAGTTATATTTTTCAGTTCCCTGATTTTGCTTGAAACCATTTTACAGGTGTTGTTTGTATAAGCAATGTTATTCTCATACATTTCTATCTTGTCAGTCCATTTGAAATATGTACCAATGATTTCTCTAAAAAATGTGCCTTCAAAAATCAACCTTTTAACATCTCTTAACTTTTGCCTATCTTCTTCAGTCTTCAATCTCTTACATTCATAAAGCATAGTATTATTCTTGAAAATTAAATTAATACAATGGTCAGCATATTTTTCAAAAGCAATTGCATTACTTACACTCTCAGGATTTTTCAATTGCTTTGTATCACCTGTTGCTAATACAATCTTATCAGGATTATTTTTCTCAAAGTCCCATATCAAAGCCCACTTGCCCACATTATGAAAATATATCTCATCAAACACTATGACATCATAACCTGAATAATCAAGCTTTTGTAGTCTCTCATCTCCAAATGAAATACCAAAAAACTTATTTATGGTAGTCCATTCACAACCGCACTGTTGCACTAACTCATTGCTATGAACAACAAACAAAACTTTATAATTTCTATTTTTCAAATGCTTACATATATAACTCTTGCCTGAACCTGCAAACTCTGCTTGGATAAGCAACCTTTTATTATTCAAAATATGCTCATCAATGATTTCATCAGTGTTCCATTCATCCTTGACATCACCCGTTTTATTTTCATATTCAGTTATATCACATAATACACTGGGTTGCTTACAAAATGCCTTGCTGGGAAAATTAAATTTATCAGACCACCTCCATTCACCAATTTCACTACCAAATTTCAACACCTCCCTTGCTTTACCCAGATTACATTTGTCAATTACAAAGGCATCAGTCTTAACTGAATACACCACTACACCATCCCTCATAAGTGTTTCATAAGCCTCATTCATATCAAAGTTATGATGTTGTAAAATCAGTTCTTTCACATATTTATATCCATTCATTAAAGTTTTTGTGTCAGATATGTTAAGCACATAATGCTTACACTCATCCACAATTTTAGCAAGTTCTTTCCCATCATTTTCAGGCTCAATGACATTGCCTTTATTATCAAATTCAATCAAGCAATCCTCATCATCATCATACACTTCACCATCCCATTTAGTTTCAGTAATGATACTTATATCTCCACCGTATTTTTCTTGATAGTAAAAGGCATCAACCATTTTTGAAAACACTATGGACTTTTTAGCAGTGTTAGTTTGCTTTTCTAATAAGCCGATGTTGATACAAGCAATTATTTTCTTTTTCATTTTGTCCTTCTCTTCATCCTCATCCAGTTTCAATTTCCAAAGTTCATCAACTATTTTTTTGTAATTAACTTTGTATGTATTAGATGGAACTTTGTAATAGATGATTTCAACCATATCAGCATATTTTTTCAAAAACTTACCGTAAATCAAGTTAAAAGTCCTATTAAAAAACAAATTCCTAACTTTGCTTTTAACAAGATATAATGTCAAAGCATTCATCTTGTTAAAATCATTCTTTGAATAATCATACTTTTTCCAAATATCAAATTCAGAAAAGCAAGGCACTTCAAAAATGTCAATGGTAGATTTTGTGTAAGCCTTTCTCCTATCTAATTCAATGTGTGTATTCTTACCTTCAACGATGCTTTCAAAATACCCACTTGGTGCTATACTATGCGCCATTGAAAATATTTTTAAATCATCATTGTGATAATATGACTTGTGATTAGGATTGAACATACCCTTATTGAAATTAAAAAATGCCTCATTGACTTTATTGAACATATCAGCACTATTACTATCAATACAAGTATCCACAGCACAGTCTATCAAACTCTGACTTCTTATATTCAAAATCAACTTATTAAACTTGACCTTGAGTGATGCTACATTGCCACCTGCTCCCATTATGATTTTAGGCTCATACTTTGCCCTCTTGAACTCACAAAAAATTGTATTTAAACTTTTACCACTAACTAAATTTACTTCTTCTTCATCTTCATTATCTTTAACTATACCCATTATGTCATCAATGCCATTGAAAAAATCATACTTAACTGGTTTCTCCTTGCTATTTAAGCGAAAGTCAGTAGAAGCACATAGTTTCATATTTTCCTCTAATTCTTTTTGTGCTATGCTTTTGATGTTGTCATTCATTGCGTAAATGTGGTTTCCCTTAATCATTCCAAACAATACAGTGATGTTTTTGTTTTTCTTATCAGGGTCATAACTGTAAATCTTTTGGCCGATACAGTTGTATAATCTGACTGTCAGTTTAAACTCTTCAAAAACAGGTTTCATATCTTCAACTGATGCCCCATTC